CCCCAAAACCCCAAAACCCCAAAACCCCTGATTGCCCTAATATACTATTTAAAGATGATTATGACAAGAAATATTTTAATGTTAATTATCTTGATTAAGCGCAGATCAATTTTTGAAGAGAGGCTTAGTGTGGTGAAAGGCTGTAAACTGAGAATTCTAAATAGTGCTATTTGCAGAGTTAAAACTATTATTGAGATTGAAACTTCCATTCATATTTTGATTTGCCCTCTAGATATTAGCTATCTCTAGATTACTTTATACTCTAGATTTGGGACTTAGCTGATACCAAACTTTGCCAGTCATATTCTCCCATTATCTGATCAATCTCTGAGGGAAGATAGGAGGCTAATAAAAGAACTTTTAGCCCGAGTTCTGTAAATTTGACGTTTAGGGATTTTGAAAGAGATTAGAACTTGATTTTATATTAGAGCCTTGCTATTTATTGTGACTAAATTAGGTATTAACTTTGTGTTTCTATCCTTCAGTTGTTATGTTAAGGCTATTTAGATTTTCAGAGATAGTATTAACAATTGGTACAATATTTTGATGGTTACTTGAATTCTAATGCTAAGTCACTATTCTTTTGAGATTATTAGAAAACATAGCTTTTCCTTTGGGAGTTTAAAATGTAAAATTATTATTATTATTTGGCTAAGAATTCTCCTTATTTGAAACCAAATTTACAGTTTTAGGCCGAATTTTCTTATTGAAGTCAGTATTTATACGTTAATTCTCCTTAAGCTAGGTTATAAGGAATTAATCATTATTACCAGAGAGATGCTCTTCATTCAAAAAATATTCACTACCTTGACCAATGTTCATTGCCATTTTTCCTCTTATTGCAGTTGAATCAGACATTTCTCTTATTTTTTATTTGTTTTTCTCTATAAAATTTATTCTACTATTGTAACCTTTCTTGAGATTACTATTATTCAGTTCATTTTGATTCTCTTTTGCCTCTAAAATATCTTACTGTAAATTTAGCAAGTCTTTTTAATTTGCAACATCCTCTTAGGCAAATTACGGATTGAAAACTTAAATTTAGGTGATGGATTAATCAACTACATGCTGATTTATTATTATCTAGGTCTTTTACTTATTAAAAATTGTTTATTACAAAATATGAGCAGCATTAGGTTTAAGTTTTATTACTTAATTATTTTGGAATTGAGGCTAATCATTCAATTTGAATCTTTTAAATTCTTGATTATGCTAGGCTTGCTAATTATTACTTATCTATATATTTTGAGTTTAACCATCATTAGTGCTGGTATTTATTGAGATGTTTGCCTCTGCTGCTTTCCTCTTTTTTGGATTAATCTAGATGTTACTAGTATAAGAAGGGATTTGCTAGTGGATTTGATTTTAACTTTCATTCATTTTATTAACTGGATAATTTTAAGTCTATCTCTTTGGAACAGTATTTTACTTCATGTACCCAATTTAGTTGGCCACATTAGCTTGAGGAACAAAGAGACTCTTATTGAGATTATTTTTAGGTGATTCGACTAGGTTGATCTTGAAATCATGGTACTCTTAAAACCAGTCCCAGAATAAATCTTGTTATTACTATTCAGGAGATGTACCACTCATTGAAAGTCGACAAGATTATTTATAAAGTGGACTTTTATTATTGAGTTGCATTTGATTACCAATCTAAGTCTATTGTCTGGCCCATGGATTCTACTAATTAAGAGTACCTCTCTTTTGAAGTCTAAAATTACTATTAATATAGGCAAAAATTACTGTTTAATCTAACCAATCGTTGAGTATTTGTGATCCTCACTATCAGGATCGTTTAAATCACAAAATTTAGGTACCTCATATTCACATTTGCGGTCATAATATGGATTTTAATTAGAAGACTTCTAAGTGTGACTTATTTAATTGAACCTGCTTGTAGCTTAATTATTATTTAAACTTGAGTTAGAAGTATTAAGGGCAACCTTAGCTTTTGCGTTTTTGTTAAAGCTTTAATTCATTTTTATAGTTGTTAAATTTAAATCATAAAGATAATAAAAGTCTTAAGATCTATCAGGATTGCGGGGTTTTGGGGTTTTGGGGTTTTGGGG